GCACCTAAGTCTTTAGTTGTTTGATAACTTCATTTTATTTCATTATGCTTAAATTTTTACCCCACAGTATTTCTTAAAAATACCAGCAACAACAACAACAAAAAAAATCAAACCAAATAGACGTTTTAAAATATATATTTTCGATAATTTTGAAAGAATTTTTATCAATTAAACTTCTTGTTCCTCCTCTTGTTCATTTTTGAAGAAACGATTCTTCAAACAAATGACATCCTTTGCCCTCTTTTCATCCAGGTGCATGCTTTAGTGTATTTGTAATCACAATTTGACAGTCTTTTTTGCTGTAGTAACAGTCTTAAACGTAAAATATTTTAAAAATAATATAAAGTATTCAAAACTTTATTAAAAAAAAAAAAAATAACAATAACAATCATAATAATAAAAATTATAACAATAACTATAACCTTATAGGTGGCTCACAGGTTAAGAAAGACTAATAATCAAAACTTTGCTTTCTAAATTTTTTAATCTAATTTGAAATTTATTCTAGATTCAGAAACTAAATGTATAATATGCAAGATAGGTACAGGAAAAGTATCGAAAAAATACAAAATTATGTATTACTTGAATGGTTCCTAACACAAGTTAAATCTAACATGCTTTAACTTGATACTAATTATTAAATCAAATCATTAAATAAATTAAAAAATAAATAAAGTTATAATAATTATAACTTACTAACTAAATACTAACTTATAATAATTTTGAAATTAAACTTAAAATTAACTTATATATACACTTTTATTATATAAATGTACAATGACCAGTAGCATAGTTTTTAAAGCCTTGCGTAAACTGCACTTCTTGTACAAAATTAATTTAGTAATAACAATAGTCTGGAAACACAAGCTGTTATCAATAGATTTTTAACTTTTATGTAAAAAATCTACTTTCAGTTTGTTGAAAGTGCAAAACAAGCATTAAGATAATTAAGCTAATATGGAAAGTCAAGATTAGCAATTGTTTTGGAGTTTGCTCTGACTATTGACTTACAAAAGATATAAACTGTCAACAGATTGATTGTTTTATGTAATGAAGATAATGAACGTTTTTAAAAACATGGTTGTAACTGAAAAATCAGTATTTACAAATTGATTTTTTTTTTTACAAAAAAGAGACAAATTCAAAGTCAAGGCTTGACTTTGAACTTATCTTTTTCTGTCAAATCAATCTGTTGACAGTTCTTGTGTTAATAAATGGTCATAGCATAGACATACAATAGCTTATGTATTATTATTTTTATGTACCCAAAAATGTTGCCCTTTGACTCAAGTCAAGCTTGTTATCAAAGTTTGGCATTTTTATTTTAAAACAAGTATTTGTGCAATTGAAAAAAGTTAGTATTACATCCACTTGAGACTTCAAGACACTTCACAATAATGGGACGAAGAAATACATATGCAATATTGATTGAAGAAAGTTTGAAAAGCTTTTAAAAGAGAAACCTTTTTATCTGAAAAATGTTTCCACAGGCACTGGAAACATTTTAGAGATAAAAACATCATTTTGAAACTATTTGAAATAACCTCTGTAATGAAATTATTTCTGAAATGTTTTAAATAAATTTTTTCTGAAATACCAATATAAGTTGAAATAAAAAATTATCAATGTTTTCAAATTATATTTTTTTGACATAAAAATAATTAAATACCTAACGCAATAGTTTAGTAACGTAGTTACTAAATTATTGTTGTTGCTCACATAAAAACTGTTTTTTATTGTAAGCTGAACTATATTAAACTCATTCTTAAATTTAAATTTGTTCAATTTATTTATAATCAACAACATTGTAACATATTTGTCTTTATAACTCATCAAGTCACCAAAAAAACTAAAACTTAAAATCAAAACAAAAGAAAGTGTATAATATGCGCATGCGTTAATTTTCAGCCGCAGAAGCAATTTATAATCGTTTAGAGAGGCTGAATTTTCAGCCGCAGAAGACTCGAGCATTGATAATATCGTATTAAATATGCCACATCACCTATTCTTAATCAAAAATGCTCTAACTGTTCTAGAGTTATTTTATTTTTTTTTTTTTAGCTATTTTAATACTTGTTTAAAATTTTATCTTTAAAATTTGAAAATTTGACGCTATTGAAAATGCCTTACAACTTAGATGTTACTATAAAGTTAGGTTTGTAAATCTAAAAAACTAAAACTTAAAATCAAAACAAAAGAAAGTGTATAATATGCGCATGCGTTAATTTTCAGCTGCAGAAGCAATTTATAATCGTTTAGGGAGGCTGAATTTTCAGCCGCAGAAGACTCGAGCATTGATAATATCGTATTAAATATGCCACATCACCTATTCTTAATCAAAAATGCTCTAACTGTTCTAGAGTTATTTTATTTATTTTTTTTTTTTTTAGCTATTTTAATACTTGTTTAAAATTTTATCTTTAAAATTTGAAAATTTGACGCTATTGAAAATGCCTTACAACTTAGATGTTACTATAAAGTTAGGTTTGTAAATCTTCCAAGATTTTTAGACTTATTTTTAATTTGTTAGACTTGTTTAAAGATTTAATTATTTATATTGAATACTTTACTTTTGATATTTCCTTGCAGTTATTTTATTTTTACTTAATGTTATTTTTTCTTTTTCTTTAACTGCATTTAGTTGCATCATATTACTTCTTTATTGGTTTAGTTGGTGAGTATACGTATTTTAGCCTAAAATACGTATACTCACCAACTAAACCAATAAAGAAGTAATATGATGCAACTAAATGCAGTTAAAGAAAAAGAAAAAATAACATTAAGTAAAAATAAAATACCATCTTTTATCCTAAAATTTAGGATAAAAGATGGTATTTTGATAAAAGATAGTAATAAAAAAAATTAAAGATTGTATTTTGAGATCTAAGCAATACTATAGACTTTGTGAAGTTAGTCTTTAACCATTGACAGAGCGCCAATTCATAAATCCATAAAAGTGCAAATATGTTTCTCTTGCCAATCTAGTGTCATATTGACAATATTTGTGAAACTGTTCCATTTGTTGTGACATTGTTTTGTGGATTACAGATGTCAGCTAGTTTAGAAAACTTGTAAGACTTCACGGAAAAATCTTAGGGGAACATACATAAAGTATGTATGCAGTAAAACCACTGATTAAGGAACTCCTTTCCATTGTTCACACCTGTATGCTTTTTATGCCCCCTTCTCCCACTGCATGCATATCTATTATCACAAAATCAACCCCTTTCCCCCAACCTTTTTCCAAAGCATAATTTTTTCAAAGAATTAAAAACAAAAATTTTTTAGTTATTTTGACATCACACATAACAGAATTATTAATTTTATTACTTAACAGAATAACAATTTTTTAAACTCAAAAAACTCTATGCTTATGTTAATAAAAAAAGAAATCATGTTTTCAAATAGATAGAGAATGAGAATTAGTCACACCACATACATACTTGGTGTCTTTAACCTCTCTTTCTCTCTCTCTCTCTCTCTCTCTCTCTCTCTCTCTCTCTTGTATGCATTCATAAGTTTTTGGGTAAACTCCTCCCCCAAACCTGCATCCATACCTTATGGAAGACCCCTCATGGCAAATAACATTATTTATAAAAATGGAAAAGTCATACAAGTAAACGGTAAAATATTTTAATTTGTGATACACCAGCTAAAGCTCTTATTTAATCTTTATAATGGTCAATATGGATGTGATTGTAAGGTGGAATAAACCTATGACGTTTTAATAAATTTTTATGCCCACTGGTACTCACTGCTAAAACATTTAAAGTAAAAAAAATCAGAAAAATCATTACAAGGATATCAGTGTCTTGGAGTCACTTAAATTAGATATAGTACAGCAGTTCCCTCTTAATGTAATTTAAGGTAGGGACCTTGCTTGTACTAAGAATATAAACTTTATCTGGGAAAAGGGCTGCTTCTTTGATTATCATCTGGGCAAATTAATTACCTTTTTAATTATGTTCCTTGAACAAATACATTTATATAGAATTTAATTGTAAACCATGTTGTAAAACCAAGTCTAAAATATACATTTTTCTTTTATATTGTTACTTTTTCTTTTATAATGTAAGTAAGTGGTTTTAAATCATATACTCAGCAAAGAAAAATACATCCATTTTTTAATTGTTAGTTTAAGTGTAGCTTATACTGAACATAAGCTGTACAGAAAAGATTAATTAACTGAATAAGGTTATGTTCATAAACTTCTTTATTGCTTTGAGAACAATTCCAGAGTGTTCCAGAATTCGTTCCAGAGTGTTCTTCTCTGATCATCTATTAATTAGTTTATATCTTTCATTGTTTAAATCATTTAGCTTATGATATTAGCTATAAAAAGAATAATACAATATCCAAGTAGTAGCTCAAAATAAATTTCTTAAAGAAATTATCAAGAGCAGCATTTTGTAAAAAAAATTTAATGCAAGGAATGATGAAAGCTGTTGCCTCGAAACTAGATGATTTTATTTAATTTTTATTTAATAATTTTTTGTATTTAAGTGTTGTTTAAGTGTTGATTTTGTTTAATTTTTAAGTTAAATGTTAAATACATCTTCTAATGAAATAGTATCTAATGTCATAAGAATATATATATATATATATATATATATATATATATATATATATATATATATATATATATATATATATATATATATATATATATATATATATAGCCCTTTTTGATTGATAATATAGTTCATTTTAGGGACACTTAACATTATAATTGTTACAGATTAAATATTTTGGGCAATAAATATATATATATATATATATATATATATATATATATATATATATATATATATATATATATATATATATATATATATATATATATATATATATATATATATATATATATATATATATAAATTTAAAAAATTAAAAATCTTTTGTGTTCTATATATTTTTATCTGGCTGTATATATTGAAAAAATAATATTTTAATATTAATTAATATTTAAAAATTTTTTTAGATTATAATTGTTTTTCTAGATACGATGCTTTATGAAATCTAAAGTTCAAAAAAATTATTTCAGGTAAAATAGTAATATACGATACCAAAATATTTAATTTAAAAATATTTACAATCAACTTAAATATCAAGTTAAATAAATATATAAATAGGCAAATGTGTTATTATTTAATTATGTTGTGTTATTATTTAATTATGTTCTATTATGAATTCTGTGCATTTTTTCCAGAGTTTAGGAAGATCGTTATTTGTTAAAATTTGTTGCTATATAATTGACAGCACTGTCAATTATATAGACCACTTAATAAATTTTCAGAACAAAGTTTATTTATATTTACTTCATTGGACCCACAAGCTTTATTTACAGATACTAATTGTATATTTATATTTTTAAATAACAAATTATTTGAACTTTTTAAATTTTTTGAACAAATTTAAATTATATAACATCTTTTATAAACTTTTAGAGTCTGCTTATTAGTACTTTTTAAATACTAAGTTTTTCAACTTTTTTTTTTCAACTTACAAAACAAAGGTTTTCAACTTTTGCTGTAAAACTTATACAAGCTGATTTAATTTTGCAACATTCTTCAATGTTTTTGTATAAATCTGAAATATAATGTTTATTTATTTAGTTTTTTCTGGGTTTTCTAGGTTTATAACTGCAATTTGAATTGCAAAGCAATAAAGCTTGTGTGATGGCAATAATGAACTCTTATCAGAAAAAAAATTGCATAACTTAATATAAGACAAATTTGTTGATTAGGTAAAAATCATTTTCATTTTGTTAATATTTAGGCAATAATTTACATTTTTGTTGGTGGCTAATATTTTTGTTTATTATTTTTAGCTCGCAACATTGTTTTCAGACGATAAATAAATCTAAATTTTATTTGGAAAAGAAGTAGAATGCAACATTCAAAAAGTGACTTTTAGATCAAGTCTGTATATCTGTCGAAAACCAATTTTGTCTAGTTAAAGCAATGCTATAGCCGAGCCCATATCTCAATCTCTCTGAATATATATCTGTCAAAGATTGATCTACAAATTTGGGCATTTTCTTTATTTCTTTTTGTTAGGCTTTACCTGAATATTTGCTGCCTATTATTTTTTTCAAAAAAAATATGACTAAATATTGACTTTTTTTTGAAGCGTTATGTAATATAATATTGAATTTATATTTAAATAAATATAAAATGACATCTATCAATTTCACCAAAAATGTTTATTTATCCGATATAATTTAACTTTACTAAATAAATATTTTTTTTTTTTTAAATATTATTTATAAGAATATAATTAGTTAAAATAATAATAAAATGTTTTTTTATTAAAATTAAATAAATATAGCGGTATTATTATGATAACAAGTTTTGCGTAAACATCATATTTTGATATCAAGTTTTGAGTTCAGAATGATATCAATGCGTGATTTCATTTTGATATCATATTGATATCATAAACTTTTCATATTATGATATCAGGGTTTGAGTTCAAAATGATATCAATGAGTGATTTCATTTTGATATCATATTGATAACATAAACGTCTCATATCATGATATCATAATTTGATATCAATATGATATCAAATTCCTGACTGGGAGAGTTCTAGTGATCAACCAGAAATAATTTTCCGTCGGAACCGAACAAAAAATCGATTTTTATTATTCATTACCGGTACCAGAACAGAAAATAAATAGTATATATATTTTTTTAAAGTTAGTTTTGATTTAAGCAAAATATTAAGTTAATAAAAATAACAAATAACTGAGATACTTTTTTGCCACCTTAGTCAACGCTAACTTGATTCTTAAATTTGCATTTTTTTTCATAGCTTTAACAAAACACAAGGCATTGCGAAGTTATTGAACTATCCAACAAATCATTCAACGCTTTTTTTATCATTTTGGAATTGAAATTGTCCATTCGGAACATGACAACGTTTCAAATAATAATGAAAATTTTCAATTTTCATTATTAATTGAAAGATAATATTGTTGTTATAAGTATAATAAGCAAAAGAAATCAGAAGGTAAAATGTAGAAATCAGAAGGTAAAATGTAGACTTGATAGAATTTACTGCCCTGATAAAATCGCCAAAAAAACAACATTTACCAAAAATCTCACCAGCCCCTTTTCCCACCACGAGTTCCTGACAACAACCGTCAATTTTCGTAAATCTAGGAGAGGACTAGTATTCTGGAAATAAATTTTTACCTTTTGGAAATAGAGGTGCATAGGCAAAAAATTGGAATCTTAATTCAAAATTGGCAAACTATAAAACGGTCCTATAAATCAATTTTAAAATGGTGGGGCGACTGAAAACTTTTAGTTAGAGATGAATTACAACATATATTGATACAGAAAAGTGCGAAAAACAAAAAACACATTAAAAGGATTGAAAACGTAATCCAACAGGAGTGAAAAAAGTTTTGTATAATTTGGAAAAAGTTCAACAGCGGAAGTTCAAATAAGTCAATTACCGAAATTCGCAAGAGTGACGGCACATTGACGAGTGAACCTGGTGAAATACTTAACTCCCTCGTTTCATATTATAAAAACATTTATACCAAAACAAATTTATGCAAAGACAGCCAAAACTATGTCTTGTCAAATATCACTAAACGTTTAAGTGATGATGAAAACCAAATTCTAAATACCGGCCTAACCGGTGTGGAGTTAAAAAAAGCCCTTTTTAAGTTTGAAAACGTAAAATCTCCGGGCTATGACGGACTTCCAGCTGAATTTTACAAAACCTTTTGTCACATTTTAGAGAAAGGTTTTGAAGAACTTGCTTACGAAATACTTTTCGTAAAAAAAAATACCAGCCACTATATAAAAAAATAAATAATTTCACTGATTCCCAAACAATTCCTGCTGAATGTAAAAATTGGAGATATCTTTTATTTCCTTAATTGGAGATATCTTTTATATCCTTAATTGGCGGTAATTACGAAAAATTCACCAAAGTGCTCGCCCTAAGATTTGCAAAAGTAATGGGGAAAATTAAAGAACCAAAGCAAACTTGCGGAATTCCAGGTAGAACAATTTTTTTAAATTTACATTTAGTCCATGAACTAATAGATTACGCGGAATTTAAAAATCTACCTAGTTTCATTTTGTCGATAAATCAAGAAAAGGCGTTTGACAAAGTTGATCGTGCGTTTCTGATGCAGATTCTCCAAAAATTTAATTTCGGAGAAAATTTTGTATCCTTTTTTAACATCGTATATTCAGAAATCTCATCATCTGTTCTGAATTGTGGTTTCTTGTCAGCCTCTTTCCCTACCGAAAGAGGAGTTAGACAGGGCAACCTCCTATCTCTTTTGCTGTATCTTTTTGTTGCCGAAGCTCTCGCTTTGGTGATCAGAGAAGACAGCAGAATTAAGAGATGTATTATTTCTACGGTTTATAACTGTACCAAAACTTGATGCAGTAATTTTTTTTTTTGTTCTTTAATCCATTTTTGTTTTTGCTTCGATCTTTAGTTTCTGATTTAACTTGAATTATTTTCTTAAAATTGATTAACATTATGGCAAGCCTTAATTTTCCTCAATCAAATTAGTTTTAATTAAATGGTCCAGACAGTGTAAAAAATTTTTTTGGGGTGTCAAGGAGTTATATACATGTTTAAAATACTCCCATATTTCAACAGAAGGAGGAAAGTAGACAAATATGTAGATGTTGTCCTCAATTTTACCACAAGTTTTACATGTGTTATTTTTTACAATCTGTTGCCTCGCGCATTTGGCTAGCAAGGCCGCAAAAGGTAGACTGTTGTGTAGAAATTGAAAGAGGATATTTTGTGTTGGTCCGCATGCGTGGGGGGTAAAGTTTTTTTTCTAAATTTAGGCTCACGGCATTGCTGTTTTTGTTGAACTGTTCCAAAAACGTTCTGCTGGCACAACTGCCTTTTTGTTTTTTGCCATTTCTAAATAAAAATTTTTTGTTGATTTTAAGGGGATGTTAAAAAGTGACCCGTTTTTGACTGATGTTTTAATTGTTGATTTGTAGTACTGAGACATTTTGTTGTCCCAGTGTTTTGGAAAATTGCTCCGTTTTAAAAAGTTCCAGCATTGGTTTTGATACGTAAACTTTATAAGTGAACTTGCTAACCAGTACTTTGAAAAGTAGTAGTAATTGTGAGTTTTATCCTCTCCGTATTATTTCAGTTGAAAGAGTGTTTTGAGGCGAAGTGCAAGGCTTTAAAATGATAAAAATTCGAGACCCCCGTTTTTGACGGGTAGAAAAAGTGTCTCTCTTTTGAGCGGATTGAAATTGGTCTTTTGCCACAGATTTTTGAATATAGCACTGTGTACACGTTCTATTACCCATTCGGCAACGGTCATTACGTTTGCCAGAAGCCACGCTTTTGACATTGCTACCGCATTTACCAACGTAGTCTTTCCCCAAAGTGACAAAGTACGTAGTTCTAGAAACTTGGGTTTTTCTCCATTTTGTTTAGAGTTACTAGCCAGTTGAAATTGGTAATATTACTCAGTCTGATGTAAAACGTAACAACAAATATTTTGAAACCGGTGTTATTGGTCTACTCTATGTTGTCCAATTCTGGATACATTTTAGTATTAAAACCCCCAAGAGCGAGACCCTTGGTTTTTGAGGCATTGATCACTGAACCACTTGTTTTTTTAAATAGTTTTACTGTTTCGAAAAAAAAGCGGACTGGTTTTACGTCCCTGGCAAAATGTTCGAATCTTCTGCGTACAACTGTAATTTATGGAGTTTTGGTATTCCTGGGAACCTCCAAATTCATTGTTAAAAAAGCTTATAAGAAACTGTGAAAGTTGTTTACAATCACAAGCTTGTCAGTGGAGTATTGAAAATGAAGATATTGCTCATGAAAAGTTTAAAGTAAAAATTAACTGTGATGCTAAAAAATGTGATCTTGTTATAAATCCTAAATCCATAGCTGGTTCTAGCCCTGATGGGTTTTGTATTAACTTTACCTTGTTTAAATACATTTTATTTTCAGTTTACGATTAAAGAAATATTGGAAAGTATGTAATAATTATTATTAGAAATCAATGTTTTTTTTATTCTTCAATATTTTCTTTGTTCGGAATTGCATAAAACAATAAATTTTTATGTTTTACTTAGTTGCTAAAGCATTTAGGTACAAACATAAAATCCTGATTTCTGTTTTTTGTTTGTTTATTTTTTAGTTGAAAAACATTGTTTGGTACACTTGTTGTTATCTTTTCTTCGAAGTCTTAAACAGCGCACATTTTACTCCAATAATATAGTTTTTAAACTAAAATATTTAATGGGTGTGAAATAAAATACACCAAAGTTTATTGGGACAATCTCAGATCTTTTAATATTTGACATTTTAATCGACTTATTTTTTGTTTACTTGTACATACAAATACCATAATGCACTGCTTTATGGGGAAATTGTACATACAAATACCATAATGCACTGCTTTATGGGGAAAGGTCAATTAAAAAATATATATTACAGATGAGAAATTTAAGATAAAATTTCAAAAAACAAAAAATTTTTTTAAAGAAATATTTCTATATAACGGATGGTAATTCAAAATTAGGACAGTGTTTGGTTCATAACTCCAATAAAATAAAAACTTGAAAAAAGAATTGAAAAACTGTTATATATATGGAGGCTTAGCACCAAACTAATTCATTCAAAAATATGTTGAAATAAAATAATTAAACGCTAAGTTTTTAACAAAAGTCCAAATAAACAAAAAGTAATCATTTTTTAGTGAACTTTGAAATTTTAAGTATGGTTCTAGAAAGTTATCTCCTGGAAAAAAATCCTTTCTAAGGAAAAAATCTTGCAAAAAATACTTTTTCCTTCAACTAACCCGAACGGAACACATACCTTTGTACATAAAATTTGAACGCAAATTTACAACATTTGCGTTAAAAATCTCCTACTCCATAATTTAAAATAACATGCTCCTTTAATTTTTGCCCACTTTTATTAAAATTTAGTAAAAATAATCACAAAGCAAGATTACTTTTGAAATATTATTTAGGTAGATATATAACGTTATATGATGTGGTTTTTTATTTAAACTTTTTCAGAAAAGAAATTAAAAAAAACACTTCCAATTAAAAAACACATGAGAAAAAGAGTTTTTAGGCAC